CCAGGACTGCTGGTTCCTAACTGCTCCACCTGCCTGATCACCCTACACTTGCCTGCCTGCCTGCCTGATCACTCCTAACCACTGCCTGCCTGCCTGCCTGCCTAATCGCCCCTAACCACTCGCCTGCCTGCCTGATCACCCCTAACCGCCTCTGCCTACCTGCCTCATCACCCCTAACTGCCTCTGCCCCTGCCATGGTGGCTTTGTCCAGAAGGATGTCCGGAAGGTCATTCGGCTGTCCGGTCTAATTAGCATTTTATGCTTTTATTATTATAGATTATTATATCATTTGTTATTATATGACAACACAGAATCAGGCTAATATTGAGCTACAACTTACACTTCCCACTCCTCACTTATAAGACATCATGGACTTCTTTCCAGTTTAAAGCACCCAGATTTATCCCATTTTTTAAAAAAATCGCTGCCTAGTATTTCATTGTATAAATGTACACAAATTTATTCAAACATTTGTTCATTGACAAGACTATTCTTTTTTTCTGTTATCAACGATGAAATACATCCTTTTAAGATAAATGCTATGCACTCATGCTAAGATTTCTGAAGGATATATTCTTTAGACATGAAATTGCTAGATCAAAGTATATGTGCATTTGAAAATTGAATAGATTCTGACAAATATAATGGTGTTTCAACTTAAGCTCCTAGTGACAATGATTATCCAAGTGTCCATTTCTCATCAGCAGTGGATGTTAAAATGGATTTTAAGTTTTGCTAGTTTAGTAGGCAGTATCACCTCATTATTGCCTTAAGATTCAGTTTTTAAATTAGCAAGCATTTTCATCTATCAGTTATTGTATGTCTTATACTCAGAATAAAGTATGCCTATCCTTTAAATTGTGTTACTGCCCACTTGGTTTATAGAAACTCTTCCTACATTAAAAGTAATAACCTTTTTTCCTGTCATGTTTTATTTGTATTTCTTTTCAGTCTATAACCTGCCTTTTAACTTTCTTTGTGGTACCTTTTTCAACCTTCCTAATCAATGCATTACTAGCTTTTCTTCCTCTTGCCAAATGCTGTTTTCTCTAGCTGGTCTTCTCTTTTATCTCTGTAAATCCCCTGCTGCCATGCCTCAGAGCTCCAATCAACTACTGTGCTATGGACCTTCCTGTCCACATTTGCGGGCCCATGCGAGGGGCTGTGACCTCCCCCTGGTACGTGCTCCTCTTCCACATTCTTTTATTTCACTCTCTCCTCAGCCACCCAACTGCCAGCTCCCCAAATCATATTTATGCCAAGGGTCCCCAGGCCCTCATTCAGTCATTTCAGTTCTCACAACCAGGGACCACTTCTCTCTCACTTGGCAGACCTGCTCAGAATCCTCTAATTCATTAGCCTCAAACCAGCTGGTCTGCCTGACTCCTCCTATTTGCTAAAGTGATGGAATAGAACCTCTATTTTTTGTAGCATAAAAAATTATAATGTAATTTATATATATAGACGATCCCTGACTTATGATGATTTTACTTAGTTTCTTGACTATACGATGGTGCAAAAGTGATCCACATTCAGTAGGCACTGTACTTTGAATTTTGCTCTTTTCCCGGGCTAGCTATGTGTGGTATCTACTCTCTTGTGATGTGGGGCAGCAGCAGTCAGCCAGCTCCCGGTCTGCCACAATCACAAGGGTCAACAACTGGGACTCTACCGTGTAGTATTGAGTGCATCTTCAACTTTCGATATTTTCAACTTACCAATGGGCTGGTTTATCGGGATGTAACCCCACTGTAAGTCAAAGAGCATCTGTGTATATAATACAGGAGCCATCAGTGCTGGA